TGATCTTAATGTTGTTTATAACTTTATTTTTTTTGCCTATAATTAACAAAATTAATATGTTAAAAATTTTTTATGGCTTCTGGATTTTGTCTCCTAAAAGAAGTCTTCCTTAGTAAGAGTAGAAAATTATTCTTGTATTTTCTTCTAATTCTTTTAGATAGTTTTAATAAATTAGTTCTTCTACCTGTCTGATGTTTATTTTTGCTTTTACTAAAGCAGTTTCTCAAACTCAGAACTGTTGACACTTTGAGCTGAATAATTCTTTGTTTGCGGAATAATGTTCTCCTCTGTGCGTTATAGGATATTCAGCGGCATCCCTGGCTTCTACCCACTAGATACTGGTAACACTCACTTCCTACCTCAGTTAAGACAACGAAATATATTTCCAGATGCCCCCAAATATTCCCTTGGGGACACAATTACTCCTGGTTGTGAACTTCAGTAAAGAACGTTTAAAAAAAAATGAAACCCTGATGTTTGAAGTATGCATACTCAAATAGAATGCCTAGTTTTATTTTCATCACATTAATGTCATTAACAACGTGAATCTAGAAACTATTATGAATATATGGAAGAGATGGGAAGAGGAAAACCAAAGCATAGATGCTTCAACTTGAATCAGTTGTTTGGAACATAGTAACCTTGCCAGCATACTGGCCAAAGTTTGAGCAGAATGATCTTAAATTTTGAAAAAAGAAGAATTAATAAGCAGATTTTGTCCCAGAATGATGCTTTGCTTGTTTGTATGTGTTTTTTTTATTTGTATCTTTCATGTTTATTTTAGTTCTTGTCCGTAATTATATGGTTTAGTTGAAACAACAGTGTGAAGCAGTAGATATAATATACATGGTGAACTGGACTGATAATCAGAAAATCTAATCGGAAACCTACATCTCTTTTTAGATTTCAATTTTGATCAATTTTGGTTTCAATTGATCTTCACTTCTATGATCCGAAAAATGAAGAATCTTATTGTGAAGATCAGTTAAACTAGTGTACTAAAAACCTTTAAAAAATTTAAAGCATTTTAAAGAGTTATTAATATAAGGAGCTATTATTTTGCCTGCCTTAAGATTTTTGACAAAATCTATGATATTTAAAACTTAAAATTGTATCATAGTTCTAGACTTGTACTTTGAAATACTGTAGTCACTAACCACATATAGCTATTGAGCATTTGAAATGTGGTTAGTCCAAATTGAGATGTATGCTAAGTGTAAAATGTACACCATAGTTTGAAGAGTTAGTGTTAAAAAAGAAATAAAATATCATCATAATAATTTTATATTGATTACATGTTGAAATGATAATAGGATATATTAAGTTATAATAGATTATGAAAATTAATTTCATTTGTCTCTTATTTATTTCTTACTGGTGTTACTGGGTTACTTTAAATTATAGATATGGCTCAATTGTGTTTCTAGTGGACTCTACTGGTCTAGACTTGTTTGATGTTAATTTATAAAAGGTAAACTCCAACGAGCACCATTATCTGTAATATATGTTCTATAGAATCAGGGAATTTTAGTTTAAAAAGGTTTTTCCCTATTGATTTTAATAGTGTTTGCAGATTATGTTTTCCTCAAACCTCAGAGGAACTGTGATGCTGTATATTTTTTATTTAGATTTAATTCAGGTATTTGGGAACTTTGGATTTAAATTTGATTTTTTAGAACATAATTCTTATATAAAACATTCAGATATTATATGCTAAATTTAAAAGCAGAGAGGAGCACTAGTTAATGCCATTAGATTAACTCATTGATTATTTAAGTTGTGGCTCTCCCATATTTTTGTTTGACTCTATTGGATTATGTATAATTTTGGAAGCAGGTAGACTATTGCCTATGTCTGGGCCTGATTTTCTTGATACTGTGTTATCAGACATCATAAGTCAAATTGTATCATGAAGCTTCTGTCAGCTTGTGTTTAATAGAATAACTTTATTAGTCTTATTTACTGACTTCGCAATTAAATTTTATAAACTTAGGAAATTATTAGAACACGAATAAATCCATTTGATAGGTACTTTGATTTTTGCAAAAAATATCTTTGCATTTACAATTTAAGAAGTATTTCTGCTGCAGAAAAGTGGTTTGAAAAATCCTAATTTAATTAAACTTTTCATTTTACAGATTTAGAGTCTGATTCTAAGGAAAAATAGTTTCCCAAATTTTGCACAATTAATTGAGTACTGATATCTGAATCCTGTGTATACAGTGTAAGTACTTTCTGTGTTATAGTACTGTTCTAAGGATTTTAATATTTGAGTAGGGGTTGGATATAGAACATCTTGATTCAAATTATGTCTTTAAAATAAAAAATATTTGTTCCATGTGTAGAATAGTTTAGTTTTAAATTATGTATATGTATTTTTTCCTGAATTTTCTCGAGTTATTTTCATCTGGTCTTCAGACGCACAAGGGTAGGAGCTTTACCATGGTACTGGGAACTTCCTTCATTATCTTTTTGAGTGAGCATTGTAGAGGCGGGTGAAAGACAGGCAGGTTGACTCACATTCACAGAGTAGGTAATGCTGTCTACCCGATTAAGAATTTTTTTCATTGTGGGACTCTTTGGTGAGTGTCACATGGGACCTAAAATTTTCTTATGTGCCAGTTCATAGAGTTATATTCATATTACCTCTTCAGCTTTAAGTTTTCCAGTCTTGCTCCTTCAGCATTCCTGATCATCCTGCAGAAACTATTAGCCATTGCATATTGATATGCATAGATTATTAAGTCGGGCAATTTCTTCTTTAGGCAAAGTAGATGTAATGGTAGGTCTTTCTACTGTGAAGATTTTCTCTCATTTCTTAGTCTGCCATCCTACCCCCATCCCACCCCCATCCCCACCCCCTCACCCGGGTTGGGGTGTAATGCCTCAGCAATCTATTTCTGGAAGTTACTGGCATTAAGTGAGAGCCATGTATAAACTAGATGTTTGCCCCCTCTGGTGTGAAATTCTCCAGGAGGCCATCTGTATTGTTTGAGGGAGGGATAGTGATATGGAAGAGTAGGTTTCTGATAGTTTGAGTAACCTATTCAAAAAATTCCTTGTACCTTTGGGCTTGGTTTGTCTTACATGTACTGTATGTACCACCTCCATTTAATGAAGAAATCTCTTGGGTACATCTACTTTTTACACTTGATCTTAGCCAAAAGGCTGAGAAGCAATGGGTATATCTACTTTTTATACATAAAGAAGCAGGGTGTCATAGTTCCTGAAAGATGTATGTAAATTATTTCTTTTCCATATACCCATATGAATGATTACAGGGCCCTTTAGTGAATGCTAGGAAGACAATTTTGGTATAATCCAGTATAGGATTCTTTCTTGAGCATACCTGGCTATCTCTTCATGTAAGAAATGGGTCTATAAACTGAGTAAAGTTTGGGAATTGGGTGAAGGCCTGTGACTAAATAATGAAAACATTTAGACTTTGGTGAGACTTTCTATTCTGGTCCTATATACTCCTCTTTCATCTTTTTATCTTTTTCCTCTGAGCTTTGAGGTATTCTGTCAAAATTTTCTTCTAATGTATCTTTATTTTAGGTTTAATTTTCCCATTATAGTTTTAAATTTATCATGTATGTATAGTTTATCCTAATCTCAGTTGTTATATCTTCACCTTTTGACCTTTTTGATAACAGGACTTTGCTATTTCTTTCAGTACATCTGTTTCTGTGGAGTAGCATTTCCTTGATTTCTTTTAAGTGGCTCCCTCATTTTGTGGGGAAGGGCATCTAGTGTTTTTCTTACTTATCCTCATAGAAATAAACTGATGCTTGTCAACTCTTAACTCAGAGTCAAGCAATAGTTGAGCTATATTCTGTCACAATAGATGATGGTTCTCTCCTGAAATTGGGAAGTATTTATATTTCTTGAATATTTGCCTTATCATTTTTAGAAACCTAATCCTCAGATTAGCTGTGAAAGAAAATTTTGCCTCGGTGCTACAGATTCCTTCCCTTTTCCACTTATTGTGGACAATCATGCCAGTGATGAGGCCTGGATGTACCTAACCTACTTATCTTCTGTTTTTTTCTTTCTTTCTTTTCTTTTTAAAAGAATTTTTTTTTTTTTTTGAGACAGAGTCTTGCTCTGTTGGCCAGGCTGGAGTACAGTGGCACAATCTCGGCTCACTGCAACCTCCGTCCCCTGGGTTCAAGCAATTCTCCTGCCGCAGCCTCCTGAGTATCTGGGATTACAGGCATCCACCACCACACCCAGCTAATTTTTGTATTTTTAGTAGAGACAAGGTTTCATCGTGTTGGTCAGGCTGTTCTCGAACTCCTGACCTCAAATAATCCACCTGCCTTGGCCTCCCAAAGTGCTGGGATTACAGGTGTGAGCCACCACACCCAGCCTACTTTAGTGTCTTTCTATGTTTTGCTTCCCTTAGTGGTGTCCAGGTCTCAGCTGATTTCCCTCAAAGATAAATCCCAGAGTTGCATAATGATGCTGATAGAGTCCAAATATTGTGAATTCACACAAAGTGGGGAGTGCAAACAATGTGCCCCTTTTTGCTTCACCATCTGCCCTTTTAGTACTGACCTCTTTGAATTATGGGTTGTGGGAAAGAGTTTACATAAAGGAAAATGGTTTTCTCACAGGACGAGAAGGAGGTCCCTAGTGGGCCTAATTTGGCTCCTTTCATTATACCACATCTGTCCAATATCCAGTTGGAATTTGTTAAAGTTTCTGGAAAATAAAGGTTACTCTTCTCTGTTTTCCAGTGATGATATTCTATCTATTTAAAACATGTTTTAATACTTAGTTCAATAAAAAATTTTAAAAGTGTAGAAAGCAGTGAACAGTTAGATTTTATTTCACCAGCATCTTGTTTGGTATATGTAATTTTTATCAACATGTTTCAAATTGATAAAAATACAGGCATATAATTATTTTTAGGCTTATGTTTATATGCCAAACATAAGGGCTAATTGTAGTTAATTTTGATAGCTAATGAGTAATTATTATTTGCTTTTTAGAAAATGGATTCTACATCTCTCTTACCAACATTTTTAGATGTGGATCTGACAATATCACATATTGAATGCCTTCCCAAGGATATTTTGGTGAAATTTCAAGGCATAAATAATAATCAATGTGAGTTTGACTACCACATATTGCAGAGGGAAATACAACATACTCCAAAAGTGAAAAATAATGTTGAAATTGATGAATTTTGTTTGGTGGAAGAAAGAGTATCAGGAGAATGGCAGAGAGGAAGAGTCGTGGAAAAGAAAAATGAACTCTATACAGTGCTCCTCATAGATCGCGGAGAAGAACTAAGAGTTGCTGGTCCACAGATTGCTTCAGCCTGTGGCAATTTATTTGAGCTACCGCCACGGGTGGTATTTGGTATTTTTGCCAACATACTACCAGTTGGGGAAAAATGGTCTCCTAAGGCTTTGAGTTATTTCAAGTCATTAGTAGGAATACAAGTAAAAGGTTATGTGCAAGCTATTTTACCTCTGCAAATGTTTCTTTTTGAAGTGCCAAAAATTATATCTCAGGCCCTTGAGTTACAATTAGGAAGACTTGTTGATGGAGATTCATTTCGTCTTCTTGTGGAAATGTCAAAAGAGTTCCCTCAACAAATGCCAGATTTATTGCAACATAAAATACCTGAATTGTCATTAGACAATAAAGGTACTTCACTTGATATTCAACATGTTCTGGATAAGTTGCAGCCATCTTTGTCAGTAGGAAGTACTGAAAGTGTAAAGGTATCATCTGCATTGAGCCCAAGTAAATTTTATTGCCAGTTAATAAAATGGACTCCAGAGCTAGAAAACTTGACAGCACATATGACTTTGCATTATGATACTGTCTGTCAAGATACCAGTCCCATGTGTGATAATTTTGGATTACTTTGTGTTGCCAAAAGGCAAAATGGACAGTGGCATAGGGGTATTCTTCAGCAGCTCTTGTCCCCAGATCAAGTAAAAATTTGGTTTATGGATTATGGGAGTAGTGAGGCTATACCCTCAATTTACGTAAAAAAACTTAAGCAGGATTTTATTTTAGTACCATTATTTTCATTTCCATGTTCTCTGACATGTTTGCACAGTCCAGATAGAGATGCAAGAACATTTCAACTGAGTATATTTAAACAGGCCTTGTTAGGTCAAGTGGTATATGCACACATTGATTGGTTCAATAAGGATGATCATTTGTATTATGTGACATTACAAAGTCGAGAGTTTACAGTTAATTCTAAGGGTCTACTGAAGACTGTAGGCACACAAGTATTTTGTCCCATGTCTGATTCAAAAACCTCCAATATATTGAGTGAGACAAATGCATGTGATGTAAACAGCTTTGCAGTTGAGAGTTTTATGGGAAATATTGAATGGTCAATAGACTCTCTAAATGAAAAAGGCATTTTAAAAGTAGGTTTTCCTGTTAAAACAGTAGAAATGGAGATAGAGGCCTCCTACGTAGCTTTTATAGCATATGTATTAAACCCATCAAATTTTTGGGTACGCACTAATGACCATCAGAATGAATTTCAAGAAATAATGAAAAATATAAACAAATTTTATGATTTGTGTGAAAACGATGAAATGATTCTAAGAAAACCTGAACCTGGATTGTTTTGTTGTGCTAGATATAGCAAGGACAGACATTTTTATAGAGCTGTCATCACTGAAATTAATGGTTATAAGATTAATGTTTATTTTTTGGATTATGGTAATACTGATTCCATACCATTTTTTGATGTAAAAATTTTGCTTCCAGAATTTTGTGAGTTGCCTGCCTTAGCCATGTGCTGTTCACTTGCACATATATTTCCTGTTGAAGATTTATGGACTAAGGGTGCAATTGATTATTTTAAAAAATTAGTTTTGAACAAAGCAATTTTGCTTCAGGTTATAGCAAAAAAAGATGACAAGTACATCGTAAATATTCAAAGTGTTGAAGCCTCAGAAAATACTGATGTTATCTCTCTTATGTTACAAGCTGGATATGCAGAATATCGGCAAGTAGAACCAGAGTATTTCCCAAAATCTGTAAGTGAATATTCAATGTTAAATTCAAAATCTAAAAACAAAGTTAGTATTAAAAAAGTCATATCTGCCCTTCTTGAAAGACCTACATCTAAAAAGTACCATTCAAATAACCTGACAGAAAAAAACTTGTCTTTGCCAAAGTCCCCAGCTGTTAATTTCTCAGATTTAAAAAATCCTTTCACCTTGTCTGTGGCACCTGAGTCATCCCTGCCTTATAAAGAACATATTTTTAAGCCAGGAACAGTTCTTGAGGTTAAATGTTCTTATTATTATGGCCCAGGTGACTTTTCATGCCAGCTCCAATGTAAGTTAGAAGACCTAAAATTACTAATGGAGAAAATTCAGAATTATTATAGTATTCATTCTGATCCTTACGAGATTGGGCAGATTGCTTGTGTTGCTAAGTATTCTGGGAAGTGGTATAGAGCTGCTGTTTTGACTCAACTGTCTAAAGAAGTTGACATAGTATTTGTTGACTATGGTTACCAAGGAAGGGTTTTAATTAAAGATCTCTGTGCTATTAACCCACGTTTTCTTTTGTTAGAAGCTCAAGCCTTCAGATGTTGTCTTAACCATTTAGTTGAACCTGTGAGTTATAAATTATTTAGTTGGACAAGAGAAGCATACAGAGACTTTCGGAATTTTATCTTTTCATCTAGAGGATCATTGACTTGTATCATCTATGCCTTATTTCTTGTGTATCCAAACCGTTTATATAACTTAGTAGATTTACAATCCTCATTTACTAGTGCAAAAGAATTTCTTATTAATAGTGGCTCTGCTCAGTACATCACATTATCAGAGCCATTTTCATCTTTAGCTAGTCTTTACAGTTACTGTTATTCTTCCTTTAATATAAAAATTGGAAGTGAAGAAGAAGTGTATATATCTCATATCTGTAGTCCCAAAAAGTTTTATTGCCAACTTGGCAGAAATGATAAAGATCTAGAGATGATAGAAACAAAAATCGCAGAGATTATTAACCTCAAAAATTGTCCAAAATATGATTCTAATAAGATGAGATTGTGCATATCTAAGTATGTAGAGGATGGTCTTTCATACAGAGCTTTAGCAGTACCAACAGATTCATCATCTGAGTTTCTAGTCTACTTTGTAGACTTTGGAAATAAGCAATTAGTAGGAGAAAGTATGTTGAGAGCCATTTCAGCTCAGTTTCCAGAGTTGTTGTTTACACCTATGCAAGCTATTAAGTGTTTTCTGTCAGATCTTAGAGATGTAGATATTCCAGCAGAAATCAGTAGTTGGTTTAAAAACAATTTCTTGGGAAAACCATTAAAGGCAGTAATATTGTCCAAGGAGTCAGATGGACAGCTTGGTATAGAATTGTATGATGGACCTCAGTTTATAAATGAGAAAATTAAAATGTTGCTTCATGCTTATGGAAAAAAACATGGTGACCAAGCATGCTTCATGGAAAAGAGTGATAAAATAAATGAGAATAAGAGATTTACTGCTTCTTTGAAAGGCAAAAAAGAAAACAACTATCACCATAATATGATAAACAAAACTAGTCTCGTAACATATTCTGAAAGAAAAGTAGATAAATTGATGCATCCCAAAAGTATATATGCCAGGTTTTTGAAACCATCAGTTTGTTATAAAATAGAATCTGTGCCAAAAAACAAAATGAAGAATTCTTTGAATGATGGACTTAAAGGTGTAAAAATTGTCTCTGGATCTGCACATATTCTTGAGAAAAGTGGCGTGGGCCAAAAATCAATGAAGGTTGTATCACAGTCTTTTATCAGAGAGTTAAGTCAAGTAGCCTTACAAAACCCATATGACCTTATTAGGCCACAGATCAAAGACCTTCCTCAACCCCAAATTTATTTGAATGCCAAAGTTAAAGGGTATGTATCTAATATCAGTAATCCAGCAAGTTTCCATATTCAGCTTGCTGAGAATGAAAGTGTGATTATCAGACTTGCTGATGCTCTAAATGCAAGAGTAAAGAGATTGAAAGAGAGAAAATCAATTAAACCTCTAGTGGGAGATCTTGTCGTTGCAGAATATTCTGGTGACAATTGTATTTACAGAGCAGTTATTAAGAAAATTTTGCCAGGGAATTCTTTTGAAGTAGAATTTATTGACTATGGTAACTCTGCAATAGTAAACACATCTAAAATGTATGAACTTCAGAGGGAATTTTTAACTGTTCCTCAGCTAGGAATCCATTCTTTTCTTAGTGGAGTAAAATGGAATGAGCCTGATGAAATATGGGACAACAAAACTGTGGATTATTTTACTTCAAAAGTAAATGATAAAACAGTTTATTGTGAATTTTTGAAAAAGCATGATCAGAGATGGGAAGTAAATATGATCTGTGATGAAAGATGTGTCATTAATGAACTACTGAAATGGAAAGCATGTTCAAAACTACAGAAGTCAGCATTGCAAATACCTCAGGTTATCTCTCAAAAGGTGAGACCAGGTGATGATAATGAAATGGAAAATGGAAGATCAAATGAGTCTGAAGGTTCTATGAGTTTGAACCAACAGCTGTTTAAAATTCCTTTGGAAGAGTTCAAACCTGGACAGCTTGAAAAAGCTGAAATGCTTCATGTTTCAAAAAGTGGAAGATTTTATGTGACGTTATCCAAAAATAAAAAAATTTTATCAGATTTAATAGTATTAATTACTGAAGAAGAAAAAAATTCTCCTTTTTTATCAATGGAAAGTATTGAAAAAGGTTTAGAATGCTTGGCAAAATCTAAAAATACCTTGAAGTGGCATCGATCAAAAGTAGAAGAAAAGTATGTTGATGATAAAATACTTGTTTTTTTAGTAGATTGTGGTATCTATGAAACAGTGCCTGTATGTAATACCAAGCTACTTAGTAATGAAATAAGAAATATTCCTAGACAAGCCATACCTTGTAAATGGATGTGGTTTGAAAATTCTAAGAATATGTCATTTGAGTGCTTATTTGCTCATTTGGAAATAAATATCCTTTTCCTGAAATATTCAGATGCTGTTTGGGAAGTAGAGATTTTGGTAGATGACCTGTTACTTTTGGAATACTTAAATCCAAATTCAGTTCCTATTGAAGAAAACAAACTTAGACCTGAAGAAATTGTTTACAATATTGAATCTAAGACTCCTATATCATCATGTGCAATAAAATCATTTACTTGGGCACAATTCCAAAATGATAGGCAGTATTCTGGTATTGCAACTTCTGTTTCTGATCCATCAGACTTCTATATTCAGTTAGAAGATTCCTTTGATATAATGAGATATCTTTTTATGTTGCTTTCTGATCTACCAGAGACCTTAGAAACGTTGCCTCAAAAGTTCATAATTCCTGGTTCTAGTTGTTTGTTCAAATATAAATCAGAAGATCAGTGGAATAGAGCAGAAATTTCTGAAGTCTCACATCAGTCTTTACGTCTTTTGTTGATTGACTATGGATTTTCTTTTTATATACATTATTCAGAAATTACAAATCTTAAAGTTGTTCCTGAGGAACTTTTGAATTTGCCAAGGCTGAGTTATCCATGTATTTTATATGGTGTCTTACCCACTAAAGGAAAACATTGGAGTGAAGATGCCAAAAGCTTTTTTCGAGATTTCCTAAGCAAACCAGACTTAATTTTTCAGTTTAGGGAATATAATTCTGAAAGAAAATGGAAAGTAGATGTCATTCATGAGAAAAACAATTTGGCAGACATATTAGTTGCATCTGGTCTTGCAACTTATTCTAAACATTCAGCTCATCTTCATGCAATTACTGCTACTGAATCTACTAAAATCCAATATAAATTACAGAGTGATCCTATTTTCCCATTGTTAAATCAAAATTGTTGCAAAAAACAAAATGTAAATTTTGCATGCACTGAGAAACAGAAGTGTAAACAGAAATCTATAAAGAGGAAAGATGTTGATAAGAACCTCTTAAGGAAAATCCATGTTAGTAAAAGATCACATTCTAGAAATTTGAGAAAGAAAGTTGGTAGTGGAAAACATTTCCAGAGTACTATTTTGTTTGATACATGTACAACAACTTCATTTTGGGAACTGCCTGATGGCTTGAAGAATAACAGTTATGTTGAAGACTTTTTTTTTGAAAAACTACCAGCTGAAGGAATACAGGAAAATAAGACAATGAATTTGAGAACATCAGTAAAAACATTGCATAATAAAGAAAAAATTATTTCAGAAGAAAAAGGGTAAATAGACATTTTTCTAAAGTTGATTTTTTCTGTAGATTATATTTTTTGATTCTTTAAAAGTTTTTTATATACTAATATTATCCAGATTGAAAATATATTGCAGGAAAACTCACTAGAAAGTCTGAATAAATGGATGAACTGGAAGTAGCCACTATGATTATAAAATGTTGCTTCACTATTTGAATGGCAAAATTTTTAGAATGTAGTGAAAGATTTTAACCACACATGCATGTATGCGTGTATGACATTTGACAAATAATTTCAAGGGTTTCATAAAACTTTTACTTACATAAATGTTTGTAGATCTTGTGTTAAATCTTTCTACTGTTAGTGAGCTTCCTGGGCTCATTTTGAAGAATAATTTTTTTTGTTACATATTGTTTTATATCATATGACATATATCTTTAGGTTTTTTGAGTGTGCTTCTAGCATATTTCTAAACCAGATAAATTTATAAATATACTGACTGTAGCATATTTTCTCCTAAATCTCTTAGATGTCATACTGATTCTAAAATATTGTTAACATTTTAATATTTTTTGCATTATATATTGTCTGATTTTGTTTATGCACATTACATTTATTTTCTTTATGTATTAATTACTGAGGATTTTGTAGGCTGTAAAGAATGTTCTCTGGCAAATTTTTGTTTTCACTTTATAAATAAAATGTATATTATTCCACATTCTGTATTATAACTACTGTCATAACAGGCTGTACTCTTTCAGTGAGTAGAAGTGCCTTGTTTTTATTGATGTAGTATTAGAAGGTATTTTTAAAAATTTTACCTAGATGTTCCATAGTGAATTGATAAAATAGGCCCACTTTTCTATCTAATTTTCAAATCTTTCCTGATAGCAGTAATGGTTATGGTAGCGATAGAAGCAGCTACTTTATTTTGAATGCTTATGTTTCAGGCACTGTGCCAAGAGTGTTATATATATTATCTCATTTAATGCTTATCACAACTCTATAAAGTATGTTGACATAAAGGTTTAGGAGCCTAATAACTAGTGCTCCACTTCTTTGAGTTTTAACCCACTTTCAAATAAAATGCTTCAGAAGGAGAAAGATAATTGTTAAGCAAAATGTCACAGTTAAACAAAATAAATAAAACCAAAAACAATATTGAAAGCTGTGGCTTATATTCATGGAAAAATTGGCTTACCAATAATGAAATAAGGAATTATTTAGACTTATACAGACATAGATGTAGACAAGAGAATCATCTTTGGGGGGTGGGTACCCACGTAAAACAGCCTGAGGCTGTTGTCTCCAAAAGGAAGCAGAGGAAGAGGCTAATCGAACATACGTCTTTCTCCTTCCAAGTGGACCAGTGAGATTGACCTTACTTCTGGAAGGCGGAACTAAGGAGAGCAAAGAAGCTAGGAGTATTATGCTAGGAGAGTGCCCCACCCATGAACCTCCACATGGAAGGAGACATAAGGAGTGGGAAAGAAGCACAGAAGCATTCTCCTCCAAGCTGTTATCACCACTTTATGGATGAGTCTCAGGGAAATTAAGTATCTTGCCCATGAATTTAAAGCTGGTAGGTAAGGAACTGAGATGTTAAGCTCAGATTTCTCTGACCACTTTCGTTTGTTATTTATTCTTTCTTTTGAAAAGTAAGCTTACTTGAGGAAGAGTTTCCTATAAATGCTTGGCACCAAACCATACATTTTGGTTCTTATATCCTTTATTGTTCCTTTACCCGTGTATATGTCTACCATCAGATTCTTTAAGAACCCGCTTTGGGCCCTTGCTTCTATTTCATAGCACTCCAAACACACAGTGAATCACTAAGTGAGTTAAAGTAGCTATTGTAAAAGCAGTTAGAAAACCGAACACTAAATTATACTTCAAAACAAAGATTTGAAGTCCTATTTAAGGAAAAAATCATGACTTTGTTATGACAAGTGTACGAATTATGGTTTCATGGATTAATTATAAATTTCCATACTTGCTATAATCATAGCCTTAAAACAAGAAAACAACATAAAAAAACTGATGTTATTACCTTTACTATCTCAACTCCTACTACCTCTATTACTCTTCCACCATTATTGCCTGAAGTTACTGAGTCTTGGGCAAAGTGATTTTAGTAGTTCCTCTTGGTTTAAGACATCAATATTTGAAAGTGTCTTACTAAAAAAGCATTAAAAATGGACTCTATTACAGTGCTTCTCAACCTTGACTTCGCATTGGAATTAACAAAGGGAGCTTTCAAAAAACCCTGATGCCTGGGTCCCTATTAAAAATTAAACATGGTGTTTTAATTGGTCAAGAGCTGTGGCTTTACTAATGGGTATTTAAACCTCTCACAGTGATTGTAATGCGCAGCTAAGGTTGCTAATCACTACTCTAGAGAGGACTGTGGGTAACTTCCTGAATTATTTTGAATTTTACCCTTTATGTGTAAAATCTGTTAGAATCTATTCTTTCTGTATTCGGAGTCCAGACTCTACATAATGAGCCACAGTAATTTTGAGCCAAGCTTAATTCAGAGTAAATATAATAGTAAAAATATTATGTTAGAAATGGCCTAGATGTGTAATATGTTTATTTTATCTTGCCCAGGTATTGTTCTAAATGCAGAAGTTGCCACTCTTTACAATTAGGAAAGTGGCATAACTTTCTTAACATCAGTGTTTAAATATTCAAAGTATTGTTTTTATCTGCAGATGATTTTCTCCAGAACAAACTTGTTCGTCTTTTTCCAGCATGTTTTCTTATTTGTTTTTGTTTTTTCAAATCATGTTTGCTTGCCCACATGCTTGTTTTTGCCTGAAAATCCTTGTATAGATTATGAAAATTAGAGAATGTAACAACTCTTTCAAAAAAGCACAGAAATATCTGTTCATTCTTTGCTGATGAGGCAGTGCTTAATGGTAATACGTACCTATCCTTCTACAGTTGCTTATTTAACTGGAAGTCATCTTTGAAAGAAATTTGGAAAGGCAACTCATTTTTAGAGAAGAGTTTTTGATATTTTAAACAGGTGGTAATATCTAGACATCCTGAGGAAAATGGCTGATAGGCATGTGAAATGTCAGATTGAGTCTTGAGAACACAACACTGTTGAGTCATACAGATTTATGAATTTGCTTGCATTGCAAAATGTGGGCACTGAGGCTGACTCCCTAAGTGTGAATATTTGTTTTATCTCTTATTAGTGATAAAACCATGGGTAAGGTTTTAAACTCTTCTGTGCCTCAGTTTCTTCTTGTGTAAAATGGAAGTCATAACACTAACCACCCCTTTGGGTGGTTGTGAAGATTAAATAAGTTAAAACATGTAAAGCATTTTCAGTGTTGCCTGCTACATAATAAATGCTCACTAACTGTTGGAAATATAAATGATCATCCTGATAAAGCTATATTTGTTTTGAAAGTATTTTTGTGAAATCGTAAGTTAAAATAATTTTTGATGCTGCTAAGCAAGAACTGAACTATATTTAGAGTATACACACAGATGTATTTAGTGTAATGGTTACAATTCATCATTAAATTTCTATTCTGGGCCGGGCGCGGTGGTTCAAGCTTGTAATCCCAGCACTTTGGGAGGCCGAGGCGGGTGGATCACGAGGTCAAGAGATCGAGACCATCCTGGTCAACATGGTGAAACCCTGTCTCTACTAAAAATACAAAAGATTAGCTGGGCATGGTGGCACATGCCTGTAATCCCAGCTACTCAGGAAGCTGAGGCAGGAGAATTGCCTGAACCTAGGAGGCGGAGGTTGCGGTGAGCTGAGATCGCGCCATTGCACTCCAGCCTGGGTAACAAGAGCGAAACTCCGTCTCAAAAAAAAAAAAAAAAATTTCTATTCTGAAGGTAGAATTTATGAGTAAGAAATGATTTATGAGTAAGAGATGATTGTAGTTCCAGATAAAGAAGGAATAGGTTATGTATTTTTTCCATTGTGGACATATATTGCTAAATGAACAAGATATTTTTAGTTGTTACACAGAATTATATATATATATAGAGCATATGTTTATAATTATACATAGTTTACATTATATATAGTATATGTTATACATATGAAATATGTATAACTTATTTGTACCCAATATTTTTCCTTATTTACCTTTTATATTGTGACTTTTAGGAATTGTTAAGTAAAAGGGAAATCTTGTTTATAGTAGGAATTTTTTAAATGAGTAAGTCTTAAGTAACTCTTGAGACCCATAATGCTTTGAAGATTATAATAGAATATACTCTTGATTTTTTTGTTTGTTTTTCAGTAGAAGGAAGTGGAAGCTCAGATCACTTACGCATAGTTTGGTAACAAACGATACAAAGGATACCCAGTAATAATTTGGTTTAGATGCTGTAGAGCTAAAGTGTTAAGCATAGTACAATAACTTCCAGTATTAAGGCATGTTAAATGAATTTTTCAGATTTTTTTCCCCAGGAGACAATGTTAGTTTGCCATGGAAATTTTCTGTGACCTAGAACATGATGCTTTGCTTTTAAAAACATTACTATTTAGTAAATATGGTTCACCAGTGTGAGATATCTTGAAAATATTTTATTTGATGAACTATTCTTCTTTGTATGTGGTTTCAAAGGCAATAAATACCATTTTACCTTCTGATACTTTTCAGATGTCTTTCCTGACCTTTGTTTCAGTTGCTACATTGTCCAGGCTTAATTGCAATAGAGAGAGTTGATGCTGTCGTTTCCCTGGAAAATATAAGTGCTTGTAGGAGTGACATTTATTAAAAGGAAATAGAGAAGAAGTCAGACATAATCCCATCTTTCCCTGTGATAATTTTCTATCATTTTATTTTTAGTGATATTTAATTTTAGTTGGGTTTTATACTTTTGGTTATTAGCTACTTGGAGATATTTGTGATATTTAAGAACAATATATCCAGTGGGGAAAAAGAATCAGTATTTTGTCATTGCATTTACTATTGAATTTAAATTTATTTTGCAAGTAAATATTAATTGAGCAAGTTCAGAGTATTGTTTTGATGCAAAGATAGAACCATAAAA